ATAATAATAATAATAATTTATATCCCGCTTCTCTGTAAAATACAACCGGGGCAGTTTACAAGATAAAAATAAACAGTCCAGTCCACCAGTAGCCCACCCCCACCTTAAAATACAATTAAACAATTGAAATTTAAAACATACTTAAAAATAACAGGTTACAATAAATGACAAATAAATGCCAGGAAACCATTATCTCAGTTCAACCCAATCTGTGGATCCATTCCAATTCTGCCATTTCTTTTTCCAATCCTTTGTAGTTCTTTTGTTCAAGGACTGCTGTTCTGAGGTCTGAGATGGAATACCCAGGAAGATCGAAATGTTCTGCAACCAGGTTTTATGTATTCCATTGACCAGTTCATCTCATCTCCTCTTTGGTTCCCACATTATATCCCAATACTCATTCAAAAGGCCAAGCCCAAGGTAATGAGGGCAAGTAGGGGCAGATGTGGAGCCTGGATATTCCAGACTGTCCCTGGAGAATCCTGGCCAGTGCAGATAAGGCTCATGTCAGAACTTGATTTTCAATATAATAATAATAATAAAATTTTATTTGTATCCCGCCCTTTAGGAAACCCAATCCGGGTGGCTCACAACAGTAAAATCATACATAAAGCCTTTGTATTATGTTTTTAAACTTCTTGATTGTGATTTTAATCTTTATTGATTTAATACTGTTTTAAGGGGGAGGGAGGGAAATGTTTTTGGCTTTATGTATGATTTTACTGTTGTGAGCCACCCGGATTGGGTTTCCCAAAGGGCGGGATACAAATAAATTATTATTATTATTATTATTATTATTATTATTATATTGAAAATTATATTTTCAGGAAAAGAATTTGAGGCCTAATGACTTCCTCCAAATCTCTATACATTCATGATGTTAGGTTTTTTCCCCATTTTAATTATTCAGTTTAAATTCAGTTGGAGGACAAAGACAGGAGGAAGGCTGTTGCCTAAAGCCAAAGAGAGTGGATAACCATATGAATGAGTATTGGAATGTGGTGCTGGTTACAAAACCATAGGGTTACAAAGGGCCTTTGCAGACTGCTAGAAATAGTGCAAATCGAGTCCACTTTAAGGGTTAGGGTTAAGGAATCATGGGAACTGTATTTTATTGTGGTACCAGAGCTCTCTGACAGAGAAGGCTCAATGTCTCAGGAAAAAAAATCCCATGATTCCCTAGCACTAACCCTAACCCTAAAAGTGGACTCAATTTGCACTACGCAAAGGCCCAAAATTTGAAATCCAGTATACTACAAAATCCAAAATTGTCTACATGGGTGGCAGAGATAGTGACACCTTGGGTTTCTGATGGTTCAACATACATGAATTTTGTTCCATGCACAAAATTAATTAAAATATTGTGTACAAAACTACCTTCAGATTAAGTATGTAAAGTGTATAGAAAAAATAAACCAGAGAGGGGGATGTGACGAACTGGTCAAGGGAGCCCTCATGAGGATGTGGGGGTTAGATAGTGTTGAAATGTGTATAGTGTGCCTGGGAAACATAGGGCCTGAACAGACTGCCAGAAATAATCCAGCTTGAGACCACTTTAACTGCCCTGACTCAGTGCTAGAGAATCATGGGAACTGTAGTTTTTTCTGAGACATTGAGCATTCTCTGTCAGAGAGCTCTGGTGCCACAATAAACTACAGTTCCCATGATTCCCTAGCACTGAGCCAGGGCAGTTAAAGTGGTCTCAAGCTGCATTATTTCTGGCAGTCTGTAAAGGTCCATAGTCTCTGTTCAACCCACTGCTGATGGACTGGCTTCTGTGGATACATTCCAATTCTGCTATTTCTCTTTCTAGTCTTCCATTGTAGTTCTTTTGTTCAAGGACTGCTGTTCTGAGGTCCAAGATGGAATGCCCAGGAGACTGAAGTGTCCTGGAAGTAGCTGGGATACTGGGATTTGCAGTTTGGTGAAGCATGAGAGCTGCCTGGCAGAGAACCCTAAATGCTCCTCCCTAAGCTTCAGATAGGGCCAGCGTGGTGTAGTGGTTTGGGTGTTGGACTAGGACACTGGAAACCAGGGTTCGATTCCCAGCTCGGCCATGAAACCCACTGGGTGACCTTGGGCAAGTCACATGCTCTCAGCCTCAGGGGAAGGCAAGGGCTAACATTGGCTCTGAACAAATCTTGCCAAGACAACCCCATGACAGGGTTGCCTTAGGGTTGTCATAAGTGAGAAACTACTTGAAGGCACACAAAAGCAACAAACATCAGATCCTAGGATTCCACAGGACAAAAGCACAGCAGTTAAAGTGGTATCACAGTGCTACTTTTGGGTAGTGTGGAATGGCCCTAGGTAAGGAAAAAATTAGCTATACATCTACCTAGAGCTGGCCCAGTCCAGCTGTTTTCTTGATGTATTGGACACTGTTTTATTTGACAGTGTGAAATAGTTATTTAACTATTCCTCAAAACTGCATATCCCAGAATTCCATAGGATGTTGCCATGGCAGTCAAAGTGGAATAGTGGCACTATAACTGTGCAATGTGGAAGGGCCCCAAACCTGCAGCCAGGCCTGATATTGGGGTCTCATCCTGGGCCCCCTTCCAACTCTGTGATTCTGTGATGTTGCTGATTTGTATTTGCTTTGTGCCTCTTGGTGACTGGTGCTCCTGTGGCTTTTAACACCTTTGTTTTTATACCAGTAATCTTGGCCGGTGGCCTAGTGGTTTGAGTGCTGGACTAGGACTGTAGAGATGAGGGTTCGATTCCCAGCTCAGCCTTGAAACCCAATGCTCTCAGCCTCAGGGGAAGGCAATGGCAAACCTCCTCTGAGCAAA